GCTCTCTGGTGCCCTCTGCAGCTGATGATTGTGAGATCTCACGACAGAAATAGCCTCTGACCCAATTGCTCTGAGATCTGTGAGTTGCGTCTCAAGCGTGAGTAGGTATAATGAATAATCAGGCTGAATCGTGGCTCCACTTCCGCCCTATAAGTAGCTTGACTACAATTCCTGCAAACCAATCATGGACGGTTGTGATCACCACTTGCAAAGTGTTCACCTCCCCATCATCATGGTCATAAGGTCAGGTCCGCCGCAGACCCATTTAGTTATAACGTATGGCTGAAAGTTGTCATCAGTTTTGGGTCAGTATTCCACCACGTTTGGACTGAAATTCATGTCGACATAATAAATCAGTCTGCCGGTATATATATATTTTTTATTTACGCCGCCGTTACCTTTAACGCCTCCGTTAATATTTGTTGCCGTTTTTATTTACGCCGCCGGTAATTTAAGCCGGCGTTAATTTACGACACCGTTAATTACTCAATTAACGCCGCTGTTAATTTAGTACGGCGCTATTTTACTTCGCCGTTAACGTTTACCCTGACGGTAGTTTACGCCACCGTTAATTTACGCCATGTTATTTTACGCCCCCCATGAATGCATCGGGTTTAACTTCATGCCGAGCTGATCATGCTTGCGACTCTTGCAGAAATTTGTCAATTAGGGATTTAAAAAAAAATACACAGCCCTCTGTCAATCCGCTGTTATATGACGGGCGCGTTCGTTCTGGAGGTTGTTTGAGCCTATTATACTATGCACGGCGGTCACTGATGTTAGCCATGGCCTGGAATATAACTTACACCCCCTGGTTCGTATCACAGTGTGCTGGCCACTGCACCACCGTTCTCCCCGCAATTCGATTAATACTGGCTTTAATTTTCCGCGAGTTATGTTCTCTTTCTTTGCCTGTATTTGATTGAGCATTATCTCCCAAGGTCACTCGAAGAGAAATCTAAATCTAATTTCCTAAAATCCATCCTGAGACCTTCCCATCCACACTGTCGTCAATCCTGTTTTCATTTTCCGTACGGTTTTCTGACTAATGTGCCCTTCGGAATTCGTATCGGCATTCTGAAGACATAACCCAACCAACGGATCCATTCTTCCGTGAATTATTACTCAAAGGTGGGGGTGTGATGTTCACTGCCACGGAACTCAATGTTTGACACTTGGTGCTGCCAGTCGGTCGGCTTTAACAACCCCACAAATACAGCGCCCTTCATAATAAGACGCCTCCGGTTTGTTTCTCTTTGTGAAATCTTCATGTTCCTGGCTGCCGCCCCCCACATTTTAACCACGGAGAGATTCGAGCACGACCTCCACAGTGATTGTCTCGTATTTTGTGGGCATTAGCCACGCGAAGCATTAATAATGCCACTGACGCTTTCCCAATGCCCAGATTAAGCGTTTTGCTTTCCAGTTCACCCCTGCACTGCTTCAATCACGTCGCATAACGGGCAATGTTTCAACGTCTTCATTGCTGTACACTTTGCCACTGCTGACCAATGTCTGACCATCTGTCGGCGCACCTTAAGCCTTCTTCTTAAGCAATACGATTTATCAACACGGATGTATTTCGCACAGACTTTATGTGTAATCAACTATGGCTAAAAACCACTTCTGAGCCTCTGGAGCAAATGCTGTTTATGAATTAGGATTGCAGACGGAGCTGCTTGTCGTAAATTCTATCTAGGATGCAGCCTGCTAGCATCCCAGCTACAGAGTGAAACCACAAGTAAAACCTGAAAATTATGACACACCCCAATCATTGGGTTGTGTCATTTGTGTTGTAACTTTGGGGCTTCGGGTTTCCCCTGTGTCTCTACCGGGTGCAAGGCGTGGGTGAGCCTACAGAGCAGCACGAAACCACGGCTCCCACCTACCTCTATCGGTCTCCACCATCGTAAACCCTATTGTGTAACATAGCCAACAAAGTGTATCATTTAAATCAAGGCTTTTACAGCCAGGTCTGTTTGGGTAATCAATCCGAAAGGATTTTCGCACCCCTACACAGCAATGCAGTCGCCTTCTCACGATGGATATGGCAACTCGTCACGTGCCAACCAACTCCAGTCTAAAGCACGGGAACAGATAACACGAAATGTTGTGGAACATTGTACAGGACGTGCACGGGTGGATGTACAAAGTGTCCGTATTTTTGCTGCAACACAGTGCAATTTCATTGTTCTTTCAAAACATAACTTTTAATTCTTCACTTAAAGCTTTCGTGACTGCAGGAATTCATATTATTTGGGTCTTTCGGTAAAATCACGTAGATGGTTCAAAGAAAATATTTTCAAAAACTACGACGTTTCGATCACAACACAAGCGATCGTCATCAGGAGGATCAGGATGATGGCGATCGCTTGTGTTGTGATCGAAACTTCGTAGTGTTTCGTTATTTTTTTTTAACCATCTACGTGACTTTCCAGAAAGACCCAAAGAGTATGGATTATTGCAGTCACGAAAGCTTCAAATCAAGATTTACCCAAAGAATATCAACTCCAGTCTATTCGTGACCTGGAAAATATTCAGTGATTCAGTGATAAATTAAATAGTCGTATACTATACTTCTGGAATACAACATTTAAGGTATTAGCCACCGCCAACCACATCATCATCATCAAGTGTCTAGGGTTATCACGAGTGCCAACAGGCTTACATATCATCGCAGTGCCCGGGGTTATTGTCAAGAATAATGAATCCATTATCATTACGGGCGTTTACCGTTAATAACTGTAAACACAGTTCACCAATTATTACAATGTGTGTATAATTTATATAACGACGATGCCACCTCAGGATGAAATATGGCCCGCATTACTGGATTATTAATCGTACAATAACTCGGCAGACCGCGCAAACATTACCCCCGTCGACCCGAAATATCGAACACGCGTGTGATTTAATTTAATCCGTGCCACGATGGTCTTCTGCCCTCTGCTTGTGGCAGTTAAGCATTGCAGAGGGTATGCTGCTCTGTGTCCATGGCTAGACAATGATACTGGTAGGAACCTCCTGGTTACACCAGCCCACATGGGATTATTGTGTCCGTCGTGCAGGGAGGGGCTGGGTGGGGAGGGAGGGGCTGGGTGGGGAGGGGCTGGGTGGGGAGGGGCTGGGTGGGGAGGGTGGGGAGAGCTGGGTGGGAAGGGTGGGGCTGGGTGGGGAGGGGCTGGGTGGGGAGGGTGGGGAGGGTGGGGGGGGGCTGGGTGGGGAGGGTGGGGTGGGGAGGGTGGGGCTGGGTGGGGAGGGGCTGGTCACCCTGTGGTGCCCTTATAAAACTCAACCTTTAACCTACTCACGCTGGCTTGTGCCCGCCCTCACAGTCGGGCATATTTGCGGAATACACCACGCCCTGGCCGTTGACCCTGGCCGTTGACCGAGAAACCCAACGTTCCTACCAGCTCCCTCCGCAGGAATGTGTAAGGTGCTGTACATCGGGGAGGGCCCGTTCGTTCATTGCGTTATTTTACGAGAGCCTGCTCAAGCGCCTTTCAATCACGGGCGTTATTTGAGCAATGTTTCACCACGCTCGTGCGTGTGTGTTAAGTCTGCGAGGGATGCCAACAATTACCCATTAGCCACTGGAATTGAACGCAATTACTTTACTGGTTTATAGCTATAATAATTCAGGGTTTTTTTTGGGGGGGGGGGGGGGGTTAGATCGCGTAAATATAAATGTGTCGTTAAACCCGCCATCACCCGCCAAAGCCAATTGGTAAGATTTGCCACTTCGACAGAACATGCCAATTCGTCACTAGTACAGCACACCGGCGTGTTGGAGAGCCAAGCCACAACATTTAGAATCTAAGTACGACGTTTCGCCAGTAATTACAACTAGCATCAACAGGAGAAAACCCTGTATTTATGGATATTGGTCGCGAAAGCCTCAGTGTTACACTGGTTTACAGCTAACAAACACTCAACACATTTGGTCAATAACACGACGGTATTACTGGTTTACGTGGCAATGTGTTTTTCTGGAGGTTTTGAACTCCACTTTAAAATTTTCCTGCTAAATCCAATGAAGGTTACAGCGCATGAATTGAGTTTGCTGACGAGTGCCCGCGGTCTCATGGGCTCAATGCAAAGTGCAAATTGGGGTTTGCAGACTGTGTCAACCCACGCGGTTTACCCCGTGGTCTCGTGCACGGGAATTGAGCTTTCAGGCCCGTACGGCGTTACAGCCGTTTCAACGCGGGCAGCAACAAATGATTGGTCTATGTTTGTGTTCCTCTCTTGTGATGGGACTTTGTCGGACGAACGTTGAGATGTATAAAGGGGCACGGGGGTGAGCAATAAAGTGTGAATGGGCCTTGTAATAAGGGAGGGCACTGATAAGGGGTTGACAGGCATGGGGTTGTTATTGTTATCGCCTTCGTTGTGAACGGTGCACAGGTCTCTGGAGTCCGCACTGAATCGTGGTCGTGTTTTGTAAACACCCCCGCCCCCCTCCATCCCCCGCCCCCCTTCATCCCCCGCCCCCCTCCATCCCCCGCCCCCTCCATCCCCCGCCCCCCTTCATCCCCCGCCCCCTCCATCCCCCGCCCCCTCCATCCCCCGCCCCCCTCCACCCCCGCCCCCCTCCACCCCCCGCCCCCTCCAGCCCCGCCCCCTCCTTCCCCCCCTTCCCCCGGCCCCCTCCATCCCCCGCCCCCCTCCATCCCCCGCCCCCCTCCATCCCCCGCCCCCCTCCATCCCCCGCCCCCCTCCTTCTCCCGCCCCCCTCCATCCCCCACCCCCTCCAACCCCCTGCTTCCCCCGCCCCCCTCCATCCCCCGCCCCCCTCCATCCCCCTCCCCCTCCATCCCCCGCCCCCCTCCATCCCCCGCCCCACTTCTTCCCCCGCCCCCTTGTCCCCCTCCTCCCCCCACCCGCCGCCTCCCGACCCGCCCTCCTTCTTCCCCCGCCCCCCTTTATCCGCCGCCTCCCGAACCCCGCCCCCTCTCAACCGGAAGCGGAAGTGACGTCAGGCACGTGGCGTCACTTTCCTCGCGCGCTTTTTTATTTAATTTTTCTCCCGCCAAAATTCTCCGCGACGCAGTCTCCTCTCCTCCCCACCCCCCCCGACTTGGACGAGAGTTGAGCCGTCACGATGATCGCGGAGGCCTACGACTCGTCCGAGCTGCCCGACCTCCTCGGTGTCTACTACCGCCGCCTCTTCCCCTACGGCCCCTACTACCGCTGGCTCAACTACGGCGGGGGTAGGAGACCCCCCCCCCGGCCACCACTTGCCGGGGACTCCGCGAAGCCCCGAGGGCACCCCGGGGGCGAGGCGGCAGAGGGTTGAATGAGTTTGAGTTCGTTCGCGTAAATATAAATGTGTCGCGGGTTAACGGCACATTTGTATTTACGCGATCTAACCCAAACATATCTTTATTATGGGTTAATGTTGGTCGCGAAAGCATACGTGTTAAAGGGATAAGGGTGGTTTTGTGTGTTGGTGGACAAAGTAGGAGGTGACGAGAGGCACAGGTGGAGACACAGATCGATGTAGAAACTAAAAGAGATATATACGCGGAGAAGAGATAGGGAGACACTGAGCTGTAGAGAGATACGACGATACGACATCAGTGTGATGAGGGCCGTCACGCATCTGAAACCATTGGGGTTTGACAGCAATGATGGGGGGTGGCGGTGTTTTCACATTTGTGCTTTGTCGGAGGCCGCACTAAAGGCCACTAGGGGCCGCCAATGGCTCGCGGGTTTTGCAATGAAAGACACCGGCGTGGAGGTCGTGGTTGCTGAAGCACAGAGTGGATAGATAGTACGCAAGATCATTGAATGTGTCTGTATGTTGAACATCTTTCGCACCGTACGTTATCAACCGTGCTAATCAGAGGTGCGGGGGAAGGACACAAAACACCTACCCAGGGTGCGCGTCACAAGTCCACTCTTGCCATAGTTTACAAAATCGTGCTATCACCCGTTATATAAATTCACGTTATGTTAGCTTTGCTTCAAATGGGGGTTCGAGTTCTTGTCATGTTCACGTTATCACAATCGTGAGAATGCATACGTTCTTTAGAAGACAAACTATTTGGGGCTTATGAAGCCAATATTTTTTTAAAGACTTAAAGCACGAGAATAGATACCACGAAATGTTGTGGAACAAGGTACAAGACGTGCATGGGTAGATGTACAAAGTGTCCGTATTTTTACCGCAACACGGTGCAGTTTCATTGAGCCTTCAAAACATAACTTTTCATTCTTGACTTAAAGCTTTCGTGACTGCAGGAATTAATATTTGGTTCTTTCGGTAAAGCCACGTAGAAAAAGAATAATAAAAAATAATAAAATATTTTTCTATCTTTGAGGCCTTACCTAAAGACCCAAAGAATATGAATCTAACTTTTAATGTCAGCCTTAATGGTTATTTTTCATTATATAAAATGTCAACAACGAGAGCTTTGAAGGTTTATGAAACACCCGGATTAACAGTGGGTGACTTTTCAAATGGCGTTCTTCGTTATACAATAAACTTCATTTCTCCGTATGTCTTGTCGGTCAGAATAGCACACTACTGTCCAGCACTTTTTTATGTACTTTTATTTTTTTCTATCTACGTGACTTTACCGAAAGATCCAAAGAATAGCACTTCAGGCGTTTCGGTCGTGTACTTAGCTGATCATGGGCTCGTTTTGACCAGAACGAACCAAGAACATACCGTGCCGATAATAAGCTGTGTACGACCTACGGACCTTTTGAGTTATGTCATAAAACCGTATTACCATGACTACGTGATTTCACCATGTTCATAGCAATGAGCGGTGGTGCCACCTGGCGGACCAGTTTTGCACCTATTTTACAAAGTATACGGTGGGGGTGTGGGGGGTCGAACGAGTCTTTAGGGCCCCCGTAAAATACCTAATTTTACCAACGATTGTCATTTGAAGATGAATTGTCCCGTCCATAAGGCAGGCTGGTACTCACTTAAAATATATTCAACAATACACGAATTATTAGTGGCGCTTGGACTTTTACTTTGCAACCTGTTCTGTTTCAAGACCTTAATGTGTGTTGTGTCTGTGTTCGCAGTGGAGAAAAACTACTTTGTGAACCGAGAGTTCAGCTTCACGCTGAAGGATGACATCTACGTGCGCTACCAGTCCTTCCAGAACCAGGCCGACATGGAGAAGGAGATCCAAAAGTGCGTCCCGTACAAGATCGACATCGGCGCGGTCTTCTCGCACAAGGTGGCCACGCGCTTGAGCCAGGGTTTACAGCAGGCATCGATTAAAATAGATTTCTACGCCCACAATACATTCATGGAGATTATCCAACATACAAATGATACACATGATATATTTGAGAACACATTTGTACACATGACACAAAAAATAAGTATGTGCACACAAGATGTAAAAATGAGATGCAATAAGAATGATTTTTTTATTTCTATGTGACCCAGGCATGCAACAATTTTCCCATAAATTAGATGCATATTTACTTTTTGAGGCCACAATTAAATTTAAGAATACATCATTTTCATCGAATTTGTATTCTCTGCATAAAGGTAACATTCACATATAAGCAAAATTTGTAAATGTGCATACTTCCATGCATTTGTTGTGAACGTACCAGTAAATTGTAATGGATGAATGTTGAATGAATGGTTTTTCAGCACAATATATAAATATGTTAATCTTCTCTCGCACAGTACGTCGCCAACCGTCCTAATCATAGCTGTAGTTTGTCAGATCACTTTTCCCAAAAGATTGCTTTAATGCCCATTAAACCACAATTCTTTCAACTGTCAATAAAAATATACAAGATCCCAATATCACTAGAATCTTAACCGTATTGAAGGTACAAAAACCTGAATTCATGACCCACGTTGGACACCTGCTGTCATTCTCATTGTATTTAATTTCCAGTTGTGGGATTTGTTTGGTTTCTGTCAGTTTTATAATCAAATCGTACAGGAAACTTTATTTTTATTTTTAAAAAGTACGAACGTAAACTCAACTATATTTGTTTTAAATTCAAGCTTTCCAACTGTTAGAATGCATACCCTCTTGGTAACAATTGTGTGTTATGTTCCAAATATGTGTTTTTATTTCCAGCCCAACCAGCACAACTCTGTGAAGATGGGCTCGTTCCAGGCACTGGAGAAGGAGCTGGTGTTTGATATCGACATGACGGACTATGATGACGTGCGCTCCTGCTGCAGGTGAACCCCTCTATACACTGATATCCTACAGCCACTAATTTCCATGAGTGAGAGGTGGCCAAGTGGATCAAGGGTCAAAGTGCTGAGCTGGCGCTGTTGAGATCCTGTATTAAAGTCTGGGTTTCAACCACCGGTGTAGTGAATTGGTGGTCTTGGCGCAGTTACTAACGACTCCATAAAAAATACGTTTTGTTTTTAAATAAATTTGTTTAAATTCCACCATTGAGAATAAAAAAAATTATCGGTTTGACTCATGCAATGAATATTACTCGATAGCAGCATGGATAGGAAAGTGTTGCCCCCCCCCTAGCTTGGATAATAGGTCACTTGAGATTTCATAAATAGTTCTATGATATCTGCATCTGCTGACTGTCCTCCAACTTGGGGTGGTTGTACTGCTCTGTCAGACTTTCTGCATGGTTTTTCTGTGTCATGACAAGATTGCCTACTGCACATTAGGGATAAAACTGGGATTTTTTTAAAGCATATCCATGCTGTGCTGCTGCTAAAAATACCACAAAGATGCGAGACTTGATGTATATTCAGACAAGAGCCCCTCGAAACTAGTTTGAATGTTTATTTTCTCACGTTAAAATAAATATCAATGCTTGTACAAGAACAAACAATACAGTAAACATTACGGATATACATTTCACACGGATAAATAAAAACATTTCAGCGCAGGTGATAAAATATCAATCTTATGAACAACTGACTACTTAGAATAAATGGGGGTAGAATTCACCCCTCTCGGCGATTCGATTAATTGTTGTGATTCGAATAAATAATAGATTATATAGTGAGTGATATTGCCTCTTGCGGCATGCAGTGGTGACATGAAGCTATAGCATACTATATACACAAATCTAAAAACATCAACTCTTACGTGTGCGATTTGATTCATGTAATGTGAGATGGATATTTGATTTTAATTAATGAATTGATGCAGCTTTTCACCCATAACAATAAGTGGTGTAGTTTCTATAGTTACAATGGGGTAATTTTAGCTACTTTAAGGAAGTTGCCTGCATTTTTGAAGGTGTGGTACAGTTTTAACTAATTTATTGAAGGGTCGATATTTTCAGCAACTTTTCAGCATCTAGAGGCATACGTGATCTCGTTTTGGGCTGTCGGTTAAGTTCACGATTGGTGTATTTGTGTTTTTTTAAAGGAATTCGCTGGTGCTATTTGTGTGTAAAATACAATTATGGATGTGCTGTCTTGTGTATTTAACCAGTTCTGCAGACATCTGTCCAAATTGTTGGCCGCTGATGACAATTGCTATTAAAGTCATCGACAGAGCACTGTCAGGTAAAGGGCACGAAAGTGCTTTGCATTCCTCCAACACAGACTGTACACGTCTACACTTGGCACATTTGCAATGTAAAAAATACAATAATTATTGCTATTGCTATCTGCTTTTTTGACATCTTAATGAATCACCCTCAATGGTTTCGTCATAATTGGGGGTTGTGATTGCATTCAAGATTCGTCTTACGTTTAAAAATATTGTAGTTACCTTCTTTGTATTGTTTTATCTATTATACAGTAAAACCTTGAATTGCGAGTAACTTGGTCTGCGAGTGTTTGGCAAGACGAGCAAAAATGTTAAATAAATATTAATTTGATAAACGAGCGAGGTCTTGCAATACGAGTAGTACGTGTATACGCTTTGTCTGCCGAGCGTCACGTGATCACAACTGATATACGAGTGCTTTGATATACGAGTGCTTTGATATACGAGTGCTGTGGATTACAAACACGTTTCCGGAACGAATTATGCTCGCAATCCAATGTTTTACTGTATTGCTTTATCGCTCTTATTTTACTCTCTTAACTCACTTTCCTACCCCATCTCCCTTGCATTGCCGTGCACAGAGGACTTTGGGTTTGACCACCGACTCTGGGTGTATTCTGGACGGCGCGGCGTTCACTGCTGGGTCTGCGACATTGCAGCGCGCAAACTCTCACAGCCAGCGCGCTCTGCCATCGCTGAGTACCTCACCCTTGTCAAGGTTGGTGACGGATGTGGAACCGTGTCTCTCGCACACCTCTCTCTTTCCGTTTACGTGTAGGTGCGGTAGTGATGGTGGTAAGGCTGGACATGTGTGAAGGTGCATGCTTGCACGCACCTGGCTGTGTTTTATAGGGTATGCTCGCCTATAGAATTTTCACATCCAACTGGATAAACATAACAGCAGGGTTTCTCAAACTGGGTCACAGCCAGGGTCGTGAAGGGGGCACAAATCGAAGTAAAATTAACACCGATCGAAAGTACAGAAGGGGGCTCCCCACATGATACCTTACAGGTTTTTGAATATCCTGTGTTGTAGCAGTTACGGTTGTGAAGATTTGTGAATCAATAGTGCCTGGAAATGTGAATGTGCATATACACACACACAATCTCGGACACGGACGTAACTATTTATTCAAATAACTTAAAGGCAGTGGCTATAGCAGATTAATCGTGCTGAGATTGTATACATAGTAAATATTAAAGTTGGTCATATAAATGACCAATATTGTACTAATGATTTGTGTGTTACCTGCAGTCTTCCTCTATCATGTAGTTTTTTCTTTATCTCTTATTGTAGATTTCGTTTTACCATTAATTCCCAGAAATCTGTAATAAACTAGATAAAAATGGTTTAACTTTTTTGACGTGTTTATGCGTGACGACTATGTGTATAGGTTCAATAACCATCTTTACCTAAAACGTCTGTTCTGCCAGGGTGGAGAAGGGATGATCAAGAAAGTGAACCTCGGGGAGAATAACAATGTACACCCATCCATTAGGTACTGCTTTATCATCACATCTCACTCTTTAAAAGAATAGTAAATGCCCACTTTTAAAGTTATTTCTTTTGAACGTGTAGAATTTTTAACAGTCTTGAGGCATATGTGTGAAACGATACATCAAATCGTGAGCGTAACAATTAATTTCATCATAATGTATAAAAATATCATTATTTCATTGAGCTGCAATTGTGAATCGAAACAGTTCATCAAATTTTTGAACGAGTCAATATATTCCAGCCTTAGTAGGAACGTTCATTTTACAAGTTTGCAAATTATACTTTAAAGTTCCTGTAACTGCGTCATTCCGTTTGCTGTTGGATGCCGACGTGTTACGCATTCCTTGTATGGCCGTCAGAGCCACTGTATTCTAATTTTAGAAATTTATATTATTCAAGTTTGACTGCCAGTCATTTGGGCTGACAGGTTTATTTTTCACTTCTGAATGATGCTGTCATCATACGCCCCTCAGTATCAGTTAATCATTATTTAATACACATTTTGAAGTAAACTATGAAAACTATGTTGGCGTAACATTAAATGTCACCTGTATGTGGTGTTTTACATTCTTGAGATCGCAGGAGCTGGATTGTCGAGTTCCTCGAGATTGCTACACCGTAATTACAGGGTGCTCAAACAACCAGTCTCTTCTTTAGCGATCATTCACATCCTTTACTCGAGCCAGGCGATAGCCTACGGCAATTCATCTCTCTAACAAGTGAGATCTTAATATATTTGATACATATGCATGTAAATGTAGAAGTGATAAATATGTTAATGGTAGTGATTCATGTGTGTACATTTCAGACTGATTTTGTCACTTAATTTTATCGTATTGACCAGCGCTGCAGTTCAAGTGGTGGAGAGGTACTTTGAAGAATATGCCCTTACAAAGCAGGACATCCTGGGTACGGAGAAGGCCAGGGAGAAAGTGTTGGCGTTGCTGCCAGACAATATCCTTTCATACACAGCGTTCCGTGTTATCGTGTTGAGCATGTGAGGCGGAAAACTTCAGTTTCTCCATTTTTTTGCTATGGGGGGGTGCAGCGAGATGAGAGTACATAGCCGGGTGCTTGTCTCTGGCCGTGTGTGGTGTAACCGTTAGTGCATTGTGCTGCAATCCCAATGAACTGAGTTTGATTCCTGGCTGTAGCTAGCATCAATGGAGAACATGTGAACTGGTCCTGGGCTTCCTTTAGGTCGACCCATTCGAAAATAAGTTCCTGGCACAGTGTGTAAAATTATCAGCACCGGGGGGACAAATCTGTGGGGTGTGCTGGCCCTACTCGCCAGCCATGTGCCGCTCCAACTTGAAAAGGTGCTCGCTTACAGCCCTTTCCCCGACAGCCGAGAAAACGGCTTTTCTTTGCGTGTGTGTGGAAGGCTCGTGCATTGTTGACTCAACCCTAAATGAGCACCTGGGGTACAATGTGAACTTCAGCTTGTGTGGTGGCAAAGGAGGCCTGGGTGTGCACAGTGATAGGTCCGGTGTCTTCATGTGTGCCATTCTCTTCTCTGCAGGCGCTCACTGACAGCATGTGCCCTATTATGCGTCTGTTGGGCTGAACTGGTGATCTTTATAATTTGTCGTGTTGTGTGTGTGTGTGAGAGATGGTTTTACACTAAAAATATAGCGCAACAGCTGTCGGACTCAACTCTGTCATTGGTATTCTGACTTGGTGGAACAAATGTGTCCGCACACGGGTCTCCGCAGCGTGGGGCCAGCTGCCTGCACATTCTCTACGACGCTGTGGCCGCACGGACCACTTGGCATGCGTCCGATGGGCAACTGAATCCGAGCGCAAGTGGTCGCTAACTTGTTTGAGTTGGGACCCCCGATCCTGATGCAAAACCCTTTATGAAGCCATTGTGCCTAAATCAATTAAAGTCCATCTCTCTAAAACGTAAAGATGGTTAAAACTAAGTAATACGATTACAAATTTGAGATTTGATGTGCATATTCAACCACCCATCTATTGATTCATCGATTCGGCGAATAACGACTAATAATTTCGCTGATTAAAATAGATTATTATGCCCGCAATACACATCAAATAGTGCTTTTAAAATCGATAGTTCGATGGTTTATGAAAATTATGTGTTAAAGGACATGTACGACCCTTTTGTCCATGCACTCCTGGATGAGGGCCTCCTCACATGCAGGTCACGGAGGTTTCTTTAGCCATGCCTCACCGCAGTGGTGAGCGTGAGTTGGTGAAAGCACAAAGCATAGATGTTTGAACGTCGTACAGTACAGTATTGGATTGTGCTTCGCTGTTTGCTGAAAACTATATGTTAATGTTATACTGTGATTAGGATGATGGAGAACAAAACATGAAACTGTTCAAACGAGTCGATAATATAATAACTCTCTGAATAGAGTTGTGATGATTGAATCATAGAAGGGGCAGGTTGAATGCTTACATGCCAAATATTAAGGTTGTGTTAATGTCCGTTTACTGTTCACTGTCCCAGTGTTTCGATTTAAAGCTTTCGTGACTGCAGGGATTCATCTTATTGGTTCTTTCGGTAAAGTCACGTAGAAGGGAAATAATAAAAATAAAACATAATAAAATAAAATTCTCACGACGTTTCGGCCATAACGCAAGCAGCCAGAGGACGGCAACGTCGTGAGAATTTTATTTAATAATGTTTTATTATTTTATTATTTCCCTTCTACGTGACTTTACCGAAAGAAACAAAGAAGATGTCCCAGTGTTACCTGGAGGCTGAGTAGCGTTAACCTCAACAGTTCAGCCCAAGTCATTATTTTCTGTTTCACAGTGAGTGATTAGACTTTGTTTTGATGAACTTTGATTGCAGTGACGAACCTTGACACGGCAGGGGGGGGGGCAGATGAGTTATCGCTGCAATAAGTTTCCCAGCAATAGTCGTGCCAACCACATTATTTTGTGATGCTCAGTGTTGGGAAACGCTTTGAGCACTTTACCGTCTGTCTTAATTTCTTTCCAATGTGGGGATCAAAGTGGATTGCATAACTTCGTATGAGCCAGGTTTATGGTTGCACATCTTTGTAATTTTTGACTAGCTCATAATTTATTTTGCTGCAATGGTACTGGCTTTTAAAAAATATATAACCCTGTGATGTTTGATCTTTACTTGAGGTTAAGCCTTGACTAACGACAGTGCACGTATGCGGGAAGAGCTGAGGAAAGATCTGCTCATCCAGCCAAACTCGGTCATACGCTGGGAGGTCATAAAACAGAAATTCAGTAAAGTGAGTTGAACAAGACAAGATGATTTCCTTTTACCCTCCTAATGGATTACACATGTGCTAGCAGAACTAGTACATAAATAGTGGCATTCTGATTCTAATTCTGATTAACAAAGGCTGATAAGATATATATTGAAGCATTCATCAGAATTGTTTATTTGTCTGTCAAAATTGAGACAAAAAATTTAGTGGCAAAAAAGTAGTGCTACAATAAGAAGAATGTTATTAAACATGAGTGGTGTAAAATATATGCACAATTGTGACAATGACCTATGTAAATTTGTATCGTATTCTAGAAGGGCTAAAAGACTGAACTATTCTCTCACCTGAAGACGATTGCTTGTATTGCGATCGAAACGTCGTGATATTTTTTATTGTTTTTCTATCTACGTGGCTTTACTGAAGGACCCATAGAATATTGGTACAAAGGTATTTGATTCTATGCTTAGAAAATACATTTTTTTTCATATATTGGACCCAAAAAAATGATGACCCAGAAATTGACTGATTTAACGTATACACTGGGTCAGCCTAAAGATCTACATTACTTAAAGTCGTTTGTGAAACGCATAAAATGTATATGCTTATGAGTGAATCGAGTAATACACTTGGTATAAAATGTGATGCGAGAGTCAATAGAAATACTAATTGTAGCTACTCCACTGCTGAATAGGTGCCGCCCCACATTGTCTCCATCCCTCATGGTCTTGCAATGCCACAATGGGTGCTTATTCTACATGTGATCTAAATTCATTGACCCATCTTTGGGATGGTCATCCGCTTGGGAAAGCTTCATCATTTTGGCTGCCAATTCGTCACCAGTCTTGCCCACCAGCCATCACCACCTTCTAACCATGCTGCATCCTGCCCAAGCCCACGTGCTCTCTTTCATCCAACAGGATGTCTCTAACCCGCATTTGTTCTCTGATCCATGTGTTCCTCTGTCTGTGTCTCAGTGTTATTCCTAGAATGCTTCTCTCCATGATTCTGTGTGCACTTTTCTTCTTTTTGTAAAGCCCACCACCACTGTTGAGTAAAGATGTGAAGCTGGCCCGCATCGCAGTCACAGGGTGTGGCATGTGTGTCATGGTGCAGGGTGGGGGCAACATACCGGCAAGGCACTGCGTGTCGGAGGTGATGCTACAATATTGCTACCCCCGCCTTGATGTCAACGTCAGCAAAGGCATCAACCATCTGCTCAAGAGCCCTTTCAGCATCCACCCCAAGACCGGTGAGCTGCGCTAAGCATAGCTCGTGTCTTTTGGACGCTTCAAAGCGCACTACAGCCAGGTCTCCAACTGGGCACGGGCACAGTTCAGCTGACGAGAGTGAGTTATTTGCAGCCAAGTTGCGTGTCAGCTGATCATAACAATGCAAAAACGGCTGCATGCAGTCTTGTGTGAGGAGACCACTGCTACTCTGCAGTCGGTGAGAGGCGTTCGCAGGGCAATGCTGTGCATGGTTTGGTGATGCTGAAACTAGGCACGTGACGATGCATCGATTGATCGATTCTAATTTCTTACACTTGGGATACGTGTAGGAAATTGGGATTGTAAAAGTATAACTGTTTTCTGATTTGTTTGTATGTAACTGATTCATGTAACCCTTAGAGCCACTAGAGGCACTGTAGTCAGGCTATAAAAAACATTTAGTCTGTAATTTAATCTTTACCCTTGAACCATGACAAAACATGAAATTGCCAGCGTGGCGAATCGTTATAGGCCTGTCTTTTGAACATTGTTGTCCTCTTGATGCCACTTCTTTTATTTGTCGATGCTCAGCATTGTTAAGTGTTGTGGTCAATGGAGGCCGTAAGATGCAAGCCTTGAAAACGGAGTTCAAGTTCCTTGAACAGGAATAGTGTAAGAGTACTGCTTGTAATATTACAACTCCAGGATAAGATGTTTAAAAACAACTGAAACAAAGATTTTAGGAACTTTCATGTCCCTTGCTCGCTGTGAATAGAACAAAAATGAGCCAGGGCGTTCAGTGCATGGGGCCTATCTGTATTCAAAAGGAATGTGTGTGACTGTCCGCTGAGTACTTGTAAACAAAATGGGACGGTCCCTCGGCATGCAATCGTTTATCTTTAAACCCACTTTTATGCCTACGATTCATGCAGTTGTATATTTAAAATAAAAACTAATCTATATTCAGGAAATGTTTTTATTTTGGCTAAATTAAAACGGCAAAAAAGACATCACAATCAAAAACCTTGCAAATGAGACGGTGCATGCAGTGCAAATAATGGACAAATGTGCCGAAAAAAATCGATTCTTTAATCGAATCGTGTCCCCAAATTGTGAAGCCTTATCAAATGACAAGGGGGATGAATATTTCTATGCCTACTGCGATACTTGGTGTTTCTCTGGCCGTCACCTTTTACTGACGGATCTTCTGTGCTTATGCTGCCAGGCCGGGTTTGCGTGCCCATCGACGTGGCCAGGGTGGATGAGTTCGACCCCTTCACGGTGCCCACCATTAGGTGAGTGGAGCGGCGGGGGGAATGACCGTGTAGCCACTTGGGTGCGTACGCATGTACAATCAAGTCCCTTGTTGAACCAGAAGAGAAGCCGTGTGCAGAATTTCTGGACACGCGATGCCAATGACGATGACGGTGGCGCCCATCCGTTATCCAGTACTTTGGAGGTGGGGTTGGTGGTTCACTAAGAGACTTACGTGCGCAAAACTCGCAGGCTGCTTAGTTAAGTTGACCAGTGTCTGGCAGAAGAGTAAATGTGTTGCTGACCTGTCTACCATTCTGAGTTTAATCCTCGAAGTGTTCTCCCATTTAAAAACAATTTCTCAAACATTCTAATACTCAGTGAGGTGTTCCAGACTAAATAAAGAATCATTACTGTAATACATGAGTGCTGCAGTAAAATATATGGGGGAGTTTTTTTTTTCTTTTCTTTTAGCCAGATTTGCCGGGAGCTCGACCGAGCAGTGGAGCCGGTGACCTCCCCGGGGCAGAGCAAGCTGGAGGTAGAGAGGGCCAAGGATGGCGGCGCGGGGGATCTGGCAGCCAAGCGGCGCAGGGGTAGGACCTCCTGCACTGTCCACTCCTTCCCCTGTACACACAGCACCACAACACATGATCCATCTCTTCACCGTACACACAGCACCACATCACACAGCCCATTTCACCCGGCCCATTTCACCGTACACAGCACGACGACGCATGGCCCATCTTCTCACTGTACACACAGCAACATGACACGTGGTCCATCTCCTCAATGCACACACAGCACCATGACACGTGGCCCATCTCATTGTACACACAGCACCATGACACGTGGCCCATCTCCTTACTGCACACACAGCACCATGACACGTGGCCCATCTCACTGTACACACAGCACCATGACACGTGGCCCATCTCACTGTACACACAGCACCATGACACGTGGTCCATCTCCTCAATGCACACACAGCACCATGACACGTGGCCCATCTCACTGTACACACAGCACCATGACACGTGGCCCATCTCCTTACTGCACACACAGCACCATGACACGTGGCCCATCTCACTGTACACACAGCACCATGACACGTGGCCCATCTCACTGTACACACAGCACCATGACACGTGGCCCATCTCACTGTACACACAGCACCATGACACGTGGCCCATCTCACTGTACACACAGCACCATGACACGTGGCCCATCTCACTGTACACACAGCACCATGACACGTGGCCCATCTCCCCTTGCGCACAGCACCATGACACGTGGCACAGGGCAGCTGGCGACAATCTGTATAACCCTCTAAATTGGGTCTCATACATTCCTTAAAGACTTAAATAAATAATTTCTCATCGATTGACTTAACATGCACCGTCACTAACGCTAAGGTTGATAAGGATTAGCGCCAGATGTGTAATGACTAATCTCCCCTGCGATTTTATCAATTGTCAGGAATTTGGGGTCACAATTCTATCCAAGAATGTATTATTTTTTGTCTTTTTTTCTGTCTTGTCTTTCTATCTTTGCCTAATTATGACATTAACATATCTGCATACATTCAAATAATTATTGCGCGCATGATTTTATGCACATACCTTTCGCGTAAAAATAGCAGTTGATTCTCTACACCTTTACACGCCTAGTTCGTGATATTTTAACACATTTTAAACATTTAATCTTTATACTAGTCTTATCTAAATTTAAACGTTACAAATGAAAGAAAAACATTGCTCCAGCCCCACAAGTGTGCACATGCACAAGGCAAACAGGATGTCATGCTGAGTCAGGCCCTGCAGGAGTTCGTCTCAGTCCCCTCTGCTCGTTGTTCCTGATGCTCGATGTGACTCAGACTACAAGCGGACGAGCATGGCGGCGAGCGTGCGCGTGTTCGAGCGATTTGTGGACAAGCTGGAGGCTTCTTGGAAGGGAGAGCTGCTCAAGAAAAGCGGTAAAGCCAACCGAACGTGGGGCACACGTTCTAGATTTGAAGCTTTCGTGACTGCAAGGATTCATATTCTTAGGTTTTTTTCGGTAAAGTCACGTAGGTAAAAAATTTAAATTGTATTAATTTAATTTTTTTACCTACGTGACTTTACCGAAAAAACCTAAGAAGGTGGGGCACACGATCAACATAGGACTGCACGACGCCTCTCCAGCGGGGAAACGCCACAACATGCTGCTTGACCCAAAGGGTTGTTATGTATCTGTGTTTTTGTATAGCCCTGACCTTCAAAATTGTTTGCACGTAGCGCTATGCCTTCCAAGTGTAATTTCCCCAATGTTGCAAAATATGGTTTTATCCAGCAATTTGGATGAGTTTAGCCAAATGTTATCAATTACACAAAACGTACCAGCCTGTAGAGTTTTGTTGCATTGTCCGCTATACAGTTGTGCTCACTGCAAAGTGAATCCCCACGTCTGCAAAGCTGCAATATAGATATATTTGGCTGCACAGGTGCGAGGTTTTTTTGTTTAAAACAAATACGTATGGGCGCAAGTGACAGGGGGGGAATGAAATCCACTTGATATGTCATTTTGACAGGTGAGCGCGTGCAGGCTGGTGTTAGCGACAGGGTCGGACAACCCAATGACCCTACGCTCTCTCACCCGTGTGTGTCACTCTTGCAGATCTGAAGAAGGAATTCTAAACATCCCAGACCTCGGAGGCTCAGCCGAGGGGAAGAGTGCACGGATTGTTATGTTGCTCTGCAACCCAAGGGCTCTCTGATTAGCACCTCAAAAACGGCGTCTGCTATCGATGTGTTAAGTTGTGGCAGCAAGACAAAGAATTGTTTTACAGCTCTGTTTAACCTTCCGGTAAACCTTAAACATGTGGTAGCTTGTTCTAAAGGCATTGCAACTCTTTCTGGGTACTGACCCATATGCTCTGTATCGTACAGGTTTAGTTTTTAATAAGTGGTATGCGAATTATTCCACTGCAGTGGACCATCTGTATATATTCCATTATTTCTGTTTCTTTGAATCCCATTTTTAGGATTATGTCAATAAAGTATATTTCTTACTGTTCATTAGCTAACTTTTGGAATGTTTTATGTTAGTCCTGCCTTGAATGAATGAAATAGAATGCCTTCAAAGTGGATAAACCTAATAACATTTGACGGTTCTTGCGCTTTAGTTTCCGATTTTTTTGATTGCCCCTTTTCAGTTGCATGTCTAATCTCAAACATGAATATATATACTTCATAATGCATCAATTTATTGATCGAAATGTACGATTACATTCACGATACTTGTATCGAATTATCTGTACTTCGTGAAATTTCTACGCTAATGTAACAAACAAATGGGTGAGCGAAACTGCTCAAATCTGACGGAAATTGGTTTGATACAATTCAAACAAGATGCAAAAAATTTGTCAGAATATTAATTATTAAATCAAATTGCAACCTCATCAAAGTGAATCAAAGTACTGTGGGGAGGATGACTCTTTACATCCCTAATATATATTCTTTCAAGTATCAGCTGTTTTGGCCAGATCACCATTGAAAAAAAGTAGCTTAGGTCAGTGAGCCTTACGTGAAATAATGATTTTAACAGCAAAATCAAGTAACAGATTTTGCGGCTTAAATTTGGTCTGCACTTTTCTGAGCCTTGATGTGTAATGCCTTCAGATCTCAAGGCAAACATGGTTCAGCCTGGTCTGTGTAGGTTGGCAACCAGCGCCAAAAGAAGTCCCTCACAAATTAATCAAGAGACTGTCTACAAGAATGCAGCTTCTTTCATTGCTAAGGAATTGTGCTATAGCTACCATGCCAAAAAAACACAAAAAAATCCCCACCTTATAAAACCCGAGGTCCTGTTTACTCTGGGAACAATGCAGTTCCCATGGCACTCTTGTGTAAAGAGCAGGGATGCAAACACCCCGACGATATCCTTGCTAAAATCTCGCTACGCCTCAATTGATTACCTGGCTTGACTAAGGTTTCGCCAGCCAAGGTGTCCCTTTAATGGAGAGAGGTGTTGCGTGTCACTTGAACCTTTCTGGCCCACAGGGCACTTGCTCACAGATTCATTTGAAAGGTCGGCCTTGGAAATGTTTATATAACAAACGTGCATTGCATGTCCTTTCTGCAATACAGCGTTTGTCAGGCTCAAAACACAGTTCTTTTTCGTCTGTACCATGTAAAATGTGTACAAAAGTTTGACATTGGGATATTTATAATCAATGTGACTGACTAGATACGTCATTCTACAAAAGTCGGTGTTTTCTTGTATCGTCGAGAAGGAGAGGGGGGGCTACTTGTTTATATTTCGGTGATGAAATTTCCCAATTCCGATGGAGACGGCCAGTTTCTCCATTGGAAAATCACTCGCTGTGTTTACAGTAGTAAGTAGGATGAATAATAAGGATTATTCGAATACAAATGTCGTTAAGTAACTTTCCAATACCGGCAGTCCCTGGTGTGGTGCCGTAATTTAGTGTGATTTTTACAGTCGCACCCTGGTTATAATTGCGTAGAATATGCCAGGCTTATGTCAACTTAAAACTCATTCACTGCGTCCTAAATATGTTTCATATATAATGAAGTATATGTTTTTACACTCTTCGTGAGTAGAGTTAAGTTATTCGGAAGGAAGTTACAGTAACTACATTTTAATCTATGCTATCAATTGCCGTATTTTTTTTTATACTGACTTCCCACAGTTGTACTCAACACACCCTTTGCCTGTCGAATACATGATGACATGGCGGTGGTTTCAGATTGACAGTGTCTGTAAACACAACATCGCGTCCATGTAGTTTCACACGCGCGCAGCATATTTTAACCGTGCAAGCATGCAAGTCGGAGAGGTGGGGGGGGGTAATGATTGGTTGAAAATAATGCAGGTTACACGGTCTAAAGCCCCTCCAGTTGCCGCATGAGTGATTGAGAGAAGCCAGACATTTATACCGGTGATGATGGCACAATGTACCGCTGCACGGAGCAGTGTTACACATGTGTGTTACGTCCAACGGCGGCGGAATGCCCCTGCGGGTTATGCTTTATATAAAGCCCGGCACGTGCAGATCAAGCCGCGTCTCCTCCGCGCGTGCGTGGGAGCGGTGGTGCAGTTTGGGTTGCGCATTGCGTTTACGAGCCCAGCGAAATAAGTTCGATGCCTGTTCGCATCGAAATGTGTGCATGTTGAACTTCTTTCGCATCGTACGTAGCCAACCGTGTTAATCAGAGTTGCGGGGTGGGGGGAGGGACAACAAACTAAACAGAAAAATTCGAAATAAGTTTTCAATCTCGATTTCAAAGGGCATATCTCCAGTGGCTTCCTAATATCTGGAGCAAGAGCGTTCCAGACGGCCGCAGAAGCGCGTCGAAGAGCGCGCGATGGGGTGACCGTCCTTGTTCGATGGATAACCAAAAGCTGCAGCGACGATGACCGGAGTTTGCGTGATGGGTTATGCAACTTTGAACCGGCTCCTCTCATAGATAAACTTATTTTGAGTACCTGGTGTGTGCGTGTACATCAGCAGCGCTGGCAAAACAACGGTGGCCACGTGGTTGTGTTCCCAACATCCCTCTCGTGTGTAATGCAGCACTTAATAGGCGCTTGCTAACAACACTTGTCTTGACAGTCCGTTAATATGCTGTACATGGGAGATATTTTGTTTGTACGCACTCCCTTATAAGTGAGGTGTTCTATTGACATTGGGTGGTTTTGCTCCGTGGAGCTGAACATTGTAATGTCGTGTATTTATCCATTTCTACGTATTCCCTACTATATAACACGTGGCTCCAGTTAAGACACTCGGACGTAGACAAAATAATGCACTTTGTACGCATTCTATCCTGTTGGGAAAATGTGGGTTTATGTCGGTGAACTGTTAATGACTCGATTGCAACATGTTGGCTCTTTTTTTAATTAAGCACATAGTGTTCAAGGCTGGGGCGCTTTAGACAAATGGTTTCTGGCGGGCGCATGTGACCCCAGCGCACGCCCGCCAAATCGGCCCATTTGGTCCACACTCCAGATACAGCATGGCGCCACGATGGCGAGATGTTAACTACGTCGCCTGGTCTACAGGAGGTCGTGGGTTATATCACGACGCCTATATATTTGAGAGTTTGCATGTTTGTCTACCCGTGGTTGCGTGTTTTTATTTCCGGGTCCTACGATTTTCCCTCAACATTTAGAAACGTGCGTTTAGAGTATTTGGCTGCTATACATTTCCACATGATGTCACTTCGTTGAGCTATCATTTGTGACCAGGTCGCTTCTGAAAGAAAGCTATATAGCTCAGTGCACCTTACCTGGTAGCATGGGACACTAAACAGGGCCATGTCGGCAGCGTCCACCAAATACATCGCAAGCAGTGCCTCCTGTACCTCGCTTACCCGGTGTATATTCACATAGTGAACTTAAAGCGAGGCAGGGCTTTTACACAGCCCCCTACGTCACTTACATTTTCATCTTAACCCATGGCATAAAAATGGCTTCCTCCGATGTATGTTCGCGTTGGACCATGTGTTAAGCATGATATCCGACGTTTTCGCTCCACGTGCTGGCGAGTTCTTGAAGATGCTCCCAGCAGCGTCAGGCAGGCCAGACAGCTCACGATATAACTCGAAATATATACATCGGATAGCTAGCTCTACGGCACAACCGCAAAAAAACCTAAACGGCCGTTTCAGAGTGGCTTTGCTGAAGGAGGTGGATGGCGTCTCTCGATGAAGACCATCGCCTCTCGTGTCCCGCCAGCCACGGGATACGGCTGCACATTTAGCCTGACTCAGTCGCGTAACTGGCATGGTGGCAGGGGGTGCCTTGGTTCCTCCCCCTTGGTGGCCGACGATACGAGTTGGGGCCTCCTTGACGACCACCATGAGATACGTTTTCAATAGTATTGGGGTACTACCTGAGCCATTGCAGCACCCCCTGTGCTGATAATGCGATTATGCCGCTGGCCTGACACCAATAAAGGCCGTTGGGAGTCTTCTTAAGCTCACTCGGATTATGAAGGGCTGGGACATCGTTTTGTTCTGCAGCTGTAAGTCGGGAAAAAATAGTTCGCAAAACCTATCATAACCGTTAGATTGTGCACAGTTTTAGTAGGTTTTGTAAAGCCTGCAGTGATTTTACAGCCACGTTACAATCTCGTTGAGAGGAGTCTATTGAAAGGGAGACCTGGAGTTGCAGTTTGGGAACGTGTAATACGCGTGTACTTCGGCTCTATCTGCATAGAAGTCTGGCCAAGTGTCGCTACGGTTCGAGTGCTTGCCTCAAGTCGATTGACTCGGCTTATCGTCCTTATCGTCTTATCGGCCAGAGCATAAATGTCTAACACGTCAGGTACCAAACCCGTAGTCGTACTGATTTATTTATATTTCCAATTAGGGTGAATTATTTGATAACACACTCATCAAATGGTTATCGCATGATTCACAGTTATTGACGACGTGAAATTATAACCATGACTTAAGTTGTGCCACCCCACGTGTGGACTCGTGGACGATTACAGGGGCGATTAAGTCAGTATTGTACCACTTTGTAGGACGCCAGAATGGATTGTTCCATTGTGTGCTACCCCTGCCATAAGAATGTTGAATTGACACCATTCACCCTATTCCCCAGATACAAATTAACAGTATCAACATGAGCTAAAGCATGGTGACACCTTCATACACGTGTATATATAAAGTACACATGTTAGATGAACCAAATATTTCATGAAAAAGTGAGCTGCGTATACCAGATACATCTACACTTTGCTTGATTTTGAACAAGATAGAGCCACAACTTTATATATACATTATATATTACTGGCATTGTTCTATTCACTGCTGGATGAAGTCCTCCCCATGCAATGTCGGTCATGAAAGTTGTCTGACCATACTTAACCATGCTGGTCAGTGTGGGTTGGTAAAGATAAGTGCCCAGGTGTGGTTCATATCTCACTCCCCATGGATGTTAGCCATGGTCAGCGATTTAACTCGGGAAACCAGGTTCATAACACGGTGCCCTAACCACTCTGCTACCGCTCGCCCAGGCTTTACTGATGATGGGTGGGAAATGGGGTATGCATTTAAAAGCACATTCCTTTACGCTGCCGTGTATCATCATTAGACACATTATTCAGGTGTTCTCATGGGAGACGTTACCGTTTCAAAGACATACGTTTGGAATTGCCCTTGAATGTACTCCGGTATATTCTGCCATATAAGGTCACATTTGCCCCATTTTTTTTCAAAAACAGTTATACAGTATTATCATTTAGAAGCCTGTCGGTCATGGGAGTTGTTTTAACCATGCTTCACCAGGCTGGTGAATGCATGTTGTGAATGGGGTGGAGGGAAGGGGGTACAGAATTGGTTCAGATTACACCCGCCACTGATGCCGTGATTTAGAGTTGAAGGCCGGTGGGCAGCTCAATAGTTCAGACAGTGAAGCTACTGTGTAACTGCTCCCCATATTTTGGGCAGGAGGCCAATCAAAACACTTGAATTTTGCTTGCACCGGTGAGACGGCCAGGAAGGAGGCTGTCTCTGTAGGCCAGTCGGTTTCAAGGACAATGCGTGTACATTATCAAAGGGTATTTGTTTGCACGTTTTACCACAAGTACGTTGGGTTAATGCAAACGTGGTGCCTTGTAATCGGTGTCTTAGTTTTGGCGTTTTACCATCATAATGCCTGTACTATTGCCAGAACACCGGCAGAAAGGGATTCGTAAATATCGGTACAGTAACACTGCTTCAATGCATACTTGGCTGCACGTAACGTAGCCTGGGGCTAAAATCATATTACAAGGTTCACTCTACTTATGGGAGCGTTTGGCAGAGAATCCTAGTGCGTGAGAACGTTTCTTATTTCATGGAGCGTCTGAGTGAAATTAACTCAAGTTGCAGTTGTGCGAGATTGTTGCGAACACTTACTCCCAAGTCCATTAATATCCGTCGATCGCCCGCATGAATGGACAGATTGGTGGGTCGATTGTGGGCGATCAAGGAAAGGAAGGATTTGTGACTTATTGGGATGAACTTTGTACATCCCGACACGCGGCTGGCCGACCTCGCCGCTAAGTCGCAATGGAATGGGAGGTGAATTTCGTTTAAGTTTGAAATGCGAGACTCGTTCACGCGTAGAATGACCTCGTGGGTGCGATGCGATCGGTGTGTCAGCCCCTTGGGCGGCATCCACAATCACGAACTTGCTATACCAAAATGTTCAACTGAGATGGAAAATGAGAGCGGGGATTGGGGGGATAACTCTAACCGGGGATAGTTAAATCCATTAGTGCAAGGCAAAGCAGTGGGGTGTAATTACGTGCATTGACAAGTGGATGAAGTGTTCATAAAACTTCAAATGATGAATGATGGTAACAAGTCATTTCCTCTCCGCTCTTTCGACACGGTTTTCATCGCCCATATTCATGGCACGCGATTCAGCATTCAGGCATTGCACAATAGAAATTCAATTAATTGAGGTTTTTGGGTATTACTCGTCACCTGCTGCCTTGAATGAACCCAGGTTGTACCTCATGGAATGGCGCAGCAGTTTCGAGGGGCAAAGCCAGAACCTTGACATCTATTTTATAATCCGAATTTAATGAGATTAACATTTAATTAACAATAATGGCTGGCGATAACTCAAGCAGGCGCCAACTGCCATACCAGGGTTGTCCCAGTAATAGATGTTTGTAAGTGAATACAGTCGTGGTGGTCATTAAGATATTTAGAGTGAATGTAAAGGCGATTCTCAATATCGTAATGACTGCTATTATCGTAATTAAGTGTTTATGAGGAATTGTCCAGACACCTCAGTGCAGGACGCTCCTAAACAGATAGTGTTCATTTCTAGATTTGAAGCTTTCGTGACTGCAAGGATTCATATTCTTAGGTTTTTTCGGTAAAGTCACGTAGGTGAAAAATTAAAATTTATAAAAGTAAAATAAATATAAAATACAAATCACGACGTTTCGGAGGCAAAACAAGCTTCCGTCTTCAGGTGGAACCGTCACAGCACGATAGCTGTATCAGCTATCGTGCTGTGACGGTTCCACCTGTATCAGCTATCGTGCTGTGACGGTTCCACCTGAAGACGGAAGCTTGTGTTGCCTCCGAAACGTCGTGATTTGTATTTTATATTTATTTTACTTTTATTATTTTTTCACCTACGTGACTACCGAAAAAACCTAAGAGTGTTCAGTCTCGGTGTGACTCTCCTGGGTAAATATTATTGGGAGTGAATGAATGACTGCAGGCTGCATATGTCTATGGGAGTGAATGACTGCAAGGCTGCAAATGTCTATGGGAGTGAATGACTGCAAGGCTGATCGGAGACTGTGACGGGAGAGAACAGCTTGCGTCCTTATCCAAAAAGACGTGCCGTGACCGGGGCTCAGGGTCTGGGTTGGTGCGGTGGTTGGAGTGGTGGGTGGGGGGCGTGGGCGGTTGGAGCGGGGATCAAGGGGTTGGTGGGAGGCGTGGGGGTGGCAGGAGGTGAGAGGCGGGGAGTTCCTTTTGCGCTCTGCTGTGTTCCCACAAAAACCACACATCCCTCCCTCCCTTCCTCCACCCATCCCTCCTCACTCCTCACCCCCCCCCCACGGCCCACTCCGTGCTCCACCGTGCCGCTTTAAATAGCGAGGCGACCTCTGCAACCCGTGATTTTATTGCGCGCGCGCGCCTACGGCCGATGTCAAAAAGTAACAACAACAACAGCAGCAGCAGCAACAGCAAGCAAGCAGCAGCAGCGGTCAGGATGAGGCGCAATGCGATGATACGCCGAGGTTTGTGGTAAATTCAGAGTTCTGCTACGGAACCGAGACGTCCTTGGGTCTTGGGAGTCCCGTGATCGGCGAGGGAGGCTGTCCGGGAGCCGTCGCCCGCGTGGGAGAAGGGTTCCGAGGAGTTCAGCTCAAAGCACGCGGTCTTCACGGCGACTCAACGCCGCGCAGAGGTGCCCACCAGGTGAAGACGATGCACACGGGTCATGTTGTTCTCCTGGCATCCCCGTCTCTCTGGCTCTGTGCCGCCCTGTCTGTCTCTCTGCTGCTCTCTCTCCCCCCCCCCATCTCTCGCTTTGTTTGGCTCTGTCTGTTACCCTCTGCATTTCTGTCTGCCCGCCGTTGCTCTGTCTTTGTGTTCGCACGGATCATTGTTCTTATGTCTCTCTGCTGCTCTTTTTTTGTTACATCTCTCCCTGGTGTTGGTTCTGTCTGTCGCTTTCTGTCTGACGCTGTTGCTCTGCCTTTGTGTTTCTCTGCCGCTATCTCTCTGTCTCCGTGTGTCTATCTGACTCGATGTCTCTTGTCGCTCTCTCTCTCTCGAGGATGTTCTTTCGGCAGCTGTCGCGTGCTCAAGCATTTGCAGGGGCTGCGCCTTAACCGTTTAACTTGTTTGAGCAAAGACACGTGAATGTCACCATCATAGTCATCATTAACGCTGGGGGAAATCGCGCAGCCCATGTACGATGTGTGTGTGTGGTTCTAGCCTTTGGCGAAGACGTGGTTAACCTCGGACCGTGTGCTTGTGTCGTGTTATCTCTAGCCACCCGTTATCTCCATCCGTGCGATATCAAACAGCGTTGTGCACAATGCCCCTTTGCGACGTGCCGGTCTTCGCTTATCCGTCGCCCTGTCACGGAGAATGTCTCCCCGGAATGTGATGATGATGGCGATGACGATAAGAGATAACGGAGCTGTCTGTTATCCGTTAGAGAGCGCGAACGAGAAGACAGAGCCGCTCCCTCTCTCTCCCAACCCTGTATCGGCAGTATGTCGTCACATCGTTGAACCCACCCGCTTGTTGATCATTTTAATCGGCGCTTTATTCACACGAGGCGTGCTACTTGAGCCCCAGCCTGTGACCAAATCATCCGCAATGCGCGCGTATCAAATACATCACGTGATAATAATAACAACAACAACGATCAAGGACCATCATGGGACCTCCTTTGACAGTACCAAAATATGAGAATTGTTTTTTTCCCTTTTTTCTGGCAATTAAAAAAACACCTTTCACAAGGAACCATGTCTGCATTAACCACAGTACTTGTGGTGTGGACCATTCCGTTTCAAAGACAATGCATACATTATCAAAGTATGTTTTTTGTTTGCATTCTGACCACAAGTATTGTGGTTAATGCAGACATTATTCCTTGTAAAAGGTGCTTTTTTTGCCAGAAAAAAGGGGAAAAAACCTATTGTCAACAATAAAGGACATTATTTTCGAGTCTTATATGCTGTATGCAATGGGGTTCGCGTTGATGAAACCGATCTTATAAAGCGGCTTATTTCTTACAGGGTGGCAAAGTTTAGTTTGCGTAGGGAATCCATTTACCATGAGGTTATATTTTTAAAGGTGCCCTGAAAAAAATACTTGCTAGCCCACATATATATTTCACACGAGAAGGTCCATGGCCTGAAACGTCGCCTATTACATATTGTCTGTATAAACGCAGTGTTATTGACGAAAATGTTGATGTTTTTTGTTCCCCACACGTATACAGATAACCAATGCAAGCTTTATTCTAACACTTTACACTCCACCTTTGTCGTTTATTATTGCCTCATGTCCCCACCAGACGGTCGCATAAGGAACTTAATACAATGCACATTTCATTGAATCAATCTGTCTACTCTCAACAAAAGCCCGATACTCCGAGCAATGAGAGCTTGCGGTTTATATTCTTGGTTCTTTCGGTAAAGTCACGTAGAAGGGAAATAATACATTTTATTTCTGTGGATTGTATTGCTTGTGTTGCAGTCGAAACGTCGTGAGAATTATTATTGTTTTATATTTATATTATTTGATTATTTCCCTTCTACGTGACTTCACCGAAAGAACCAAGGATATGAATCCCTGCAGTCACGAAAGCTTTAGATCAAAATTTAGTTTGCGGTTTATCAAAGCGTTTGCGGGACCCTCATCAAATGTCCTGCGGTGGTGGTTGGCACCAGTGACACCACGGCGTGGACATCTGTGAAAAAGAGCTTCACAGCTCATCGGATTTCTCCAGGACAAATACAGAGTCTGTGTTTGGCATGGGATCCGGACGCAAGTAATTCAATGTCCCCCTCTCCAATTACACCCCCCCCTCCATCCTCTTCTTCGTAGCTCGGCATCTTGATCCACTCCAGCCCGCGGGGCCCTGGTGCAGTTGTACCGCCTGCACACTCGATAGCGACGTCAATGCCTTGCAGGCACACAGGCAGACACACACACACGCAAACTAAAATCTCTCTCTCTCTCTCGCACGCACACACACCAGGGACATTCCGCGACTCCAGTTCCAGTAGGAAGTGGGCTCCGGCCCAGGTTTTCCAGCCAAAAAAAGAAATCCATGTTAACTGTACGGGGTTGGGGGGCGAGAAACGGTGACTGGCAACAGCCCAGAAGCGCCCACTGGCGTTTTCGGCATTGTTTCCACTCTCCTATTACTCTAATAAACTAATCACCTGCTCGCGTCACCTGAAATTGCATCGCCCGCCGCGGAGAGTTTGCACCAGGGCCCATGCCGTCCGCGCTACGCCACTGAAAATCAACGAGAGTATGCGCTGTTCCAAACAAAGGAACCACCTGCACGTGCACTGAACACACACACATATATCTGTATGTTTGGCGCCGTGTGCTAAGCACACCTGCGCTGGGAACCCGGCGACCCGAGTTCAATTCCCGTGCATTTGTGGTAACGTCAGTGGCGAATGATCGATCATTCTACCACCGACCCTGGGCTCCCTCGCCTTCGCCAACATTTATGGTCGAGCAAAACCCACGACCGACACACGCGGGGAAGCTCTCATCCAGCGGTGGATTTACAAAGTTGCTGCAATCAATCACGTTAAGGTGTAACAAAGCGGACACGCTGTACACGAGAGACAAAATCGATCCGCTAAGAGTAGCTCCTGTGCAGCGAGTCGAGGCGCGCGCGTGCCCGGGCACGCGCGTGGATGCACCCCCCCCCCCCCCCGCCGCCCACCCACCGTGTCCTCTGTGCGCACGGGCCACCAGACTCCCCCGTCGGAACGCCCGCCGGTCAAGATGAGCAGCATCGACTTCACGTCGCTCCTCGAGTCGCTGGAGGAGTTCAACTCGAGCGAGCTGCCCGAGGAGTGGACGCGCCTGTGCAACGCCAGCGACCTGGAGTGCCTGTGGCGCGAGGTGTTCCACTGCGTGCACCCCTTCGACAAGAGCTCGCTCTTCGTGCCCATCGCCTTACTCAACTGCTTCGTGTTCTTCGCCGGCCTCCTGGGCAACGCGGCCGTGCTGTGGCTGCTCTGGCGGCCGGGCCGAGGCGGGCGGCCCGAGGTGCGCTGCTACGTCCTCAACCTGGCCGTGGCCGACCTCTTCGTGGTCCTCACGCTGCCCGTGTGGACCGTCTCGCTGCTGGGCCACGGCGCGTGGAGCCTGGGCGACTTCATGTGCAAGTGCACCCACTTCGTGTACAGCGTCAACCTGTACGGCAGCATCTTCTTCCTCGTGGCGCTCAGCGCCGACCGCTACGTCACGCTCGTGCTCTCGCCCGACCTCCTGGGCCGCCTGGCGGAGCGCAGGGCCCGCTCGCGTGCCATCGCCTGCGCCGGCGTGTGGCTGCTCGCGTTGGCCGTGTCCATGCCGGACATCGTGTACATCGAGTCCGGCACGGCGCCGCACACCAACCAGACGTACTGCGTGGCCGCCTACCCGCTGGGCGCCTTCAGCCAGTGGATGGCCGGCATGCAGCTCATGTGCAACGCGGTGGGCTTCGCGCTGCCGTTCCCGATCATCGCCGTATGCTACGCGCTCGTGGCTCGTGCGCTGCGCGACTCGGGACGCGCGGGGAGTCCGCGCGAGGCGCGCAGCGCGCGGCGCCTCCTCGTCGCCTACGTGGTCGTGTTCGTGCTGTGCTGGCTGCCCTACCACGCTGCGCTCTTCGTGGACGCGCTCGCGCTGCTGGAGGTGGTGGAGCTGAGCTGCGGCGCGGAGAGGTTCCTCTACTCGGCGCTGCACGTCACGCAGTGCTTCGCGCTCGTGCACTGCTGCGCCAACCCCGCGCTCTACTCCCTGCTGAGCCGCGGCGCGCGCGGCGCCCTGCGCAGGGCGCTCGTGGTGAGATTCAGCAAGGGGGAGCGGCTGCAGGAGGAGGCGGACGCGGCCACGGGGGACACGGACTGCACCGAGATACGGCCCTCCGAGCGCGCCATCGGGGACTGAGATGCGCACGCCGGTGTGCCGGCGTGTGCGCGTGTGTGTGTGCCAGTGTACGGGTGACGGTGTATGTGCGCAGTAGTCTCGTTAAACAAACGGTGATGCCATAAAAAAAAACATCCCTCATTAATGAGCACGTGACTGGCAATTGAATACCGTATACCTTGCCCTTTCACAAACAAAGACAAAGGCCCCCCGTATAGCCTTGACAGACTGTGGGGGCAAGTGCTGTTCGCGAGCACTTATGAAGCACAAACACGCACACACACGCGCGCTCGTCTCTGTATATACAGAATCAGTCTGTAAAGCAGGGGGTTTTCAAACTTCCAGTGCCCGCTATCTAACACGGCCCACCGTTTCGTGTTTGCCATTCCTCGTTGTCAAGATGCTAACTTGAGTACTTTGACTTGTGGTACACCACCAACGGCCCGATGATTGGCAAACTCGCAGCGAAAGACACAGAGATCACTAAATTATATTTTAAGAGAAACAAAATGAGCAGGCAGTTCGTCTCCTTCGTAGATCTGTCCTGCCACGTAATCTTAGGAGCATTGGATTAATACAAGCAAACTCTGGACTGGGTTCAGCATTCAGTGACTCATAAGCAGATGCTTGCTTGAATCCATGCTTGTGAACTGCGAGATGTGTATATACAGTAGAGGCAAGGGACCCACTCTCTGTTAGATATGGGTCCTAGTGTGATGCAACACTCTACAATACACAACAAATATTCATCAGATACGTAAAGGATGCGATCTGTCGGCTTATTTAATTTTGTAGCTAGATTCTTCACAACGGCGCTAACGATTATAGTTTCATGAGGTCCGTCTTACTTTCCAGAGCTTTCTTATAATCTGGAGAATACTGTAAAAGCATAACTCTGCTCTGTGTCGTCCACTTAAAATCAAGTTTTAGTCCATCGACATATTGGCCTTCAGGAATAATATAAAGCAGCATTTGTTAATCCTGGACCGTTTCAATTTCGATTTAAAGCTTTCGTGACTGCAGGGATTCATCTTCTTGGTTCTTTCGGTAAAGTCATTCAGACGCTGTCTTTCCGACAGACCTGTTCTTCACCTGAGGACGGCTGCTTGCGTTGTGGCCGAAACGTCGTGAGAATTGTATTTTATTATGTTTTATTTTTATTATTTTATTATCCTGGACCGGTTTACACCTTATGGGTCTCATCAGCAGTCAGTCCTTGTGAAACAAATGGTGCCACCTGATGTTGTTGACCACTTTTTTTTTTATATGGAAAACCACTAGTTTGCGCTCCTACAAGGGAGTACAGGGCGGTACATATGTCTTGTGACCTCCCCCCCCCCCCCCCCCATTTAATACTCCAAAACGTAATATGTTTGTCTACCGATGGGTGTGAAAACAAAAATGAATAAGCAAAGGAACATTGCTTTTAAGGGTCAATTCATTGGGGGTTACAAGACATGTGAACGACCGTGTACAGTAATAGCAAAACTACACCAACATTCTCGCGGAGCCCTCTCGTCGTGGCTAGCAGATCTCGACATTGGCATTTAGCTCCTTGAACATATTGCTGCTGCCATACCCGAGAAGATATCGTGATGATCACGGAGGGCGCGCCCGAAAGCCACTCGGAACGTCTTTTGTTCTCGAGAACAGAACTTCAACTGACGTGGGACAATCCCTGGAAACACAGTTGAGCCACGGGATGATGGCCTATTGGGACTTGTTTTTCTTTGTAGGTCGTGTATTCATTTATCCAACCGCTGCAATTCACAGTTGATTACCGGCTGCCCTCCGCGTGCGTTTCTGCCAGCTGACCCGGAGGTTAATTCGAATTACCGCAGCTTTGTTCGCCCAATTTTTTTTACAATTACATTGCGATTGCAAATATGCAATTAATTCCGGGTGTGTATTTGTGAGCGAATATCACGTTTAAAGTGAGTCAAACCGTGAAATCGGAGGACTGGGTGCTGGAAACTAGTGGCTTTACGGTGCATCGAATAATTCCTTAAAACTGATTGTTACGTTCACAAAAAATAGAATCGAATTATCCTGGCGAAAAAAACCCCGAGACTAATTCTCATAAATGAATATTCACGTATGGGCGGTGTTCTTCATTGTAAGGCCCGCGGGACACTGGCGGCCCCTGATGGCCTTTAATGGGGCCCCTGATGTACGGCCCCCGACAATACACAAATGTCAAAACCACCCTATCATTGCTGTCAAACCCCAGTGTTGGCACCTCTACGCCACGCACGCAACGGTCGCGACTGCGAGGTACGAATCGGTCCAGAGGGATGCTGCATCATAATAATAATTCTCACTCGCCATCGTAATAGCTGCTTACACAAACATTCGCGAAGAGTCATTTGTACAATTTATATAATGAGTTTGTATCTGCTGGTGAGCGGCACGTGACCTCGTCAAGAAGACAGACTTGCCCTGTGAGTCCGAACCGCTTTGGGCTATAAATGAAACCGAGCCTATTCGGAAAAACGATTTCGTGATGAAGAAATTCCACGTCCAGTTGGCAACACGCAAATGTTAGTTGACACACAACTGTGATGTTTTCCTAGCCGTTTCTTCCATCGGCTGTGTTACCCTGGTGCCAACATTATAAGTGGCTTGACATTTTTGGCTTGTGTGTGTGTGTATCCAAGGTCTGTATAGTGTGTTTGTATTATATATTTTACTCTTTAAAGTATTTTACATTTTTTGCTTTGCACGCGTTGTGGAAAATAATCCCGTGGAGTCCCCAGCGGTGGTTCACAACCTACGCTCCGCGCAAGTGCCGTGGGAAGATCCGCCAAAATGTTGAGATTTTTGTTTTGTTATCACAAAACAACTTTGTATTCTTTACTTGCGAAAATGTTTTGAGGGTTGATAGTGTTCCCGGATCCTGAGAGGGGTTCGTATCCTCTCGCCAACGCTAAGTCAATACTGTGTGTGTGTATATATGGGGAGCGGTGGCGCAGCAGTTAGCGCACTTGCACTCCGAACCTGGCAACACCGAGTTCGGTTCCCGTTCACGAGCAACAACAGTGATAATTATCTGTGCCTTTCCAAGATTGACTCAGCCTAAAATGAGTTACTGGAGGGATGTGTAAACATGTGTAAACATCGCCACTGGGGAGATAAAGGCGATCGGGCATGGTACTGGCCATCCATCCCCGAGTGTGCCTTCATAGGTGCTCGCAAACAGCACTTTCCCCAACAATCTGTTAAGGCTAAAGCGAGGATCGCTGTCTTTTTATCTGGCCTAAATATCATCGTCAAAACGTTTATTTGACCGGAAAGAAATCCCACGAAGAAAACGAATCTCAAGGATAATAGTCAAATAATTTTCACGCCGTTTGGGTGGTAGAAGCAGGTCTCCATCCAGCAGTGGATTGAGGGCTGTTTGACGTGCCACGCAGCAGGCGTGTCCTGGACGAAGCAAGAGCGACTAACATACAGAGAACGCGTGTCGTCCGAGATGAATTGAATTGCACAGGGACGAACATATTTCAAAGGAATGCAGAACCAATGGATCGTCGCCGCTTGTGCGAACGAATGAGATTAACGAATGAGATCCCGCGACATCATGTCAACGAAGATATCACCCATTATTACAGTAAAGTATTGTGCAACTATTTTAAATCTATATATTTGAGATAGCAGTTCGACCTGCGTGGTTGACATGTTGTTGACAGATTGCTTATTTGTATACACTTAAGTTTTTCTTGGTGGATGTGATGGCGTGTCAAAAGTAAAGGTGCAGCCCTGCAAGTGCTCGCTCTCGCCACTGTCGGCGGAAGGGCCTCCACTGGAGGGGAGCTCTAGAGAGCACCCCCTCTAGAGGGTCATTTTTTGGCCTACTCTTCCACGTTGCTCAGACGTCTTGAAAGAGGTGGAAGCACCCACACTTTACCCCACCACATGCAACCTGCCGATCGACCGCGGTGTGCCCATTTATACTGCTGGGGGTGGACAGAGGTGGCGGGGATAGGAAACTTCCACCGTTAACCTGGCACGCCGGGAGGTCGAACCGCCCACATGGTGTGGTGACCTTGACAGTTCGTACACTCGTGCAGCATTGGCAGACGCGTGCGTTGATTGTAATGGCCGAGCATAAAGTGATATGCCGCATGTTCTGAAGAAACGTATTTGTCTACAGTTGTGTTTCTGTGTTACGCGAGCGATGACGGTGCGTGGTGCTTACTTTGCGGCTAAGTCTCCGTGCAGCCCTGCCACCGCGATTCCCACGCGCTTTGCTTGGCACCGTGAATCGTTGTATAAATCAGATGTGGCGCATATCGAAGATGTGCTTTGATATGTATCAATTAATACGATAGTTCACTGAAGACATTGGGGCACTGCATTCCAAAGTTCGATTTCCAACTATTGTCAGTCAATATGCCCTCTCTGTACATGAAATAAAATAGGTAATTGCCTGAAACGTCAGACTCAAATCTGCAATCATCCACATTTACTGAATAAGTGCCCTGCTGTTCAAGGTCACCATCGAAGTAACTTTGAGTCAATGTTACCGACAGGCTGCAGTGATAGCCAACCGGAGACGATTTCATTCTTTTCGTGGGACTCATCAGTACAGTACCGTCACCGATGCTCAAGCTCCAAAGTCTGCTTCTGGTAACCATATACTGTACCGGTCGGCCCCACTTCAACACAATGATGAGGTCCACATGTTATAAGCCAGGGTTAATAACAACAGTGGAGAGTTTATTTTACTCGTACTTACACTTAGACCGTGAGAGGTGCCGACGGGTAGCAGAGACCTTATTTACACGGCAATGCACTCACTGATCATGGCTGATTAATAATAACGATGATGATTATGACACGTGCATGTGTACACAGCTCGAGGACAATTATCGTAGATGTCTCAGCCCCGCTGAGACATCTACTGAGACATCGACTGTGGCTCGCCGTTCTGGTGGGTTTTTTTCCCCAAGGGTAACTACACAGTCACAATTGCAGAGTTGTTCTTTTAAACAAATGCGTGTGGTTAGAATAAGCCTCAAAGGCTTCTAGGCTATAGGAATCAATTCAAATCTGTTCACGTGCATGCACGGAATGAAGGTTGATTGATATACGAAAGGGCCCCAAAATGCTCCTCAGTGGGGCATGATGAGTTTTCCACAATGTGAGTAACAAAAGATAAAGGTACAGCCCTGCAATTTCTTGTTCGCGCCACTGCTAGAAGAAGGGTCTCCACTAGAGGGGGCTACACATCTCGGCATCCCGTTCCACGCTGCACATGTGAAGTGGGTCCGCAAATAAATAAATAAAAGTAGTTTAATTCACTGGATTTCTGATTTATTTCCTCTCTCCCAGAAGTGCCTTTTGATTGAGTAAAACACGTTTGGAAAATGATGAGAAAAGACAAAATTGTATCTCTTAGAGAAAATACTTTAAACGAGGATATCTAAACGGCAAATAAATGCCAATGGGTAATCAAAATGTAATTATGTTTTATTTTACATCTTACAGTACAATTAAGAATGAATGATTGGATGTGGCTGGGTAGCTCAAGGATTAGTGCCCCGAGTTGGCACTCCTGAAAGACTGGGATAAATCTGGATTTAGCCACTCGTGATTAAAATTGAGTATCAAGCGTAGTGAGCTGATGGTCTCAGCTTGGTCATTAATGATCGTACATCAAACCCCCGTCATATTAAATTAGATTGTTTTATATACTCAATTTGCCAAAACAAAGCACGTAGATGCGAGAACACAAATATAGGTTTGATTTTCAAAAATGTACTTAAAACTTTCGTGACTGCAGGAATTCATATTCTTGGTTCTTTCGGTAAAGTCACATAGATAGAAAACAAAAAGTAAAAAATAAAAATAATCAAATTCATCATGATGAAGACCGCTTGTGTTGCGGTCGAAACGTCGTGGGTTTTTTGCTTTTAGTATTTTCATTTTTTTAAAATTTTCATTTAAATGTTTAATTTCATTTTTTTCTATCTACGTGACTTTACCAAAATAACCACGAATATAGGTTTGACTTGTAATGAACATCTCTACAACGAAGCAAGGCCCATTGGAAAGTTGCACCGCCCATCCGTGTAGACAGATCTCACTTATAGTGGTCTCAGAAGTAGTTCTCTGATATCTCCTTCCACAGGCTGTCCTTTAACACGGTATGATGCAATGCTCTGCTCGAGATCAGAAGCGATTATTCCTTCAACCTTTCAATTTAGGTCAGTAGCACAATTGTTTATATAATTGGTCGGGGGAAAAGACGACGCGTTTTCTTCTTCACCACGAACGAAATCGTACATATTATAACCGATGAAGTAAATATTAAGCTAAATAAACATTTGTGCATCATAAATAGACCCACGTCATGTATCGCCTTGCACGGTTTTAAACAAGTGGGCCGAGTGGGCTCGGTGGAGCTGTAAACCAGAGGACTTGCATTCACATGCTTCATGGGTCACAACTTTTCTGTATAAATAACAACACCAACAAAAGTTACCACAGCTATGTACTCCCAACGGGGTGAACTGTTCTGATGTTTGTCCTTCGTGCACGGTGTACGATCCACATAATCACTGCATTACACGCTTCGCAGTATTTGTCCTCTGGTGTTGCAAAAAAAAAAAGTGATCTCGTGATTGTTGAAATCTGTCACTCATAGTTACGGTTGTGCAGCATTGCAGGCGGTTGAATGTACGTGTCTGTACAGCTGTGTGTGTGTGTGTGTGAGCCATTGTGTGTGTGTGTGTGCGCGCTATACATATTAACATATAACAAATGTGGGGTTTATTAACAAAAATATATTTGTATAAAGTATTCTGTGCAAACATTGCATATAGCGTGGAACCTATTTTTGTATTTGTGTCAGTTTGATGCATGGTGACAAGACCTGGGATACTGATGATTAAATCAATAGATTACACTTCCTGGTTATCAGTTTGATGACTCGACTAATCGGATAATGAAAAGAGTTGGGGATAATAAACTCAGATCTGTTCCTTCGTGGGGCTTTTATCGGCTCCATCAGCCACGTGATGCTGGCTTGGGGAAGCCACCGTTTTTATGTCACCTTCATCGACTTAATCAACCAATTGTTCCAGCTCTAATTGTGACCAACTGTAGCCCTGTGACTTGCATTTAACAAAATTGCAGTTCACTGTGACATCAAATTAGATTGTGCGTACATTATCTGAGATAACACCTGGCTAAACCAGGTCAACGTAGTCGCATCAGTTCGCACTTTCAGCGGGCTATTTTTCATACCTGTTGGGGCCACGATTAATATCTGCGATAATGTTTTTGTGAGGAATGACCAGGCACGTCGGCGCACGTAAATCAACGCTCGTGCCACGATACTCCCAGCAAAACTCGAGCGCCGCACGCGTTTATAGAGGAGCGGCGCTTCCAAACGTTAAAAAATGTTCTTGGCGACACCCTGACATTGCCCCTCGAGCTTTTATTTGTGCTGCACTTGAATTGTGAACTCGATCCGGATAATTTACCGCTCGCCGCCCGGGCGACCGCAGGGTCTCGGCAGCCAGGAAATCTGTTCAGGCTCACGCTGAACACAACTGGTAGCTGGGGCTGGGTCTGGTGGGGCTCGTGGGGGGAGGAGAAAGAGACAGAGAGAAAAGAGCAGCTGTTTACATTTTGTTTTATTTCGAGCTGTGGGATACAACGAGGCTTCTCTTGGGGTCGGGGAGCAGATTGAACGGTGGCTAGAACAATGCATTTCTTGAGTTGGAATTCTAAATACGGCCCCCCCCCCCCCACTGTTGTTCCCTTCCCCCCCCCCCCCCCCCCGCCACTAGAAAACACATGGCAAGATCCTCTTGCAAATGAGTCATGATACTTTAAAGATGTCCTACTTTAAACCAGCGTATTCATAATAACGCTACCGATCGCATATGAATACGTGCAGGCCTAGCAGCGGCCACTTTCAAACTCCAGTCCTCTTGTCCTTGCCACAGTTATGATTTTTTCATATTTTACCAAATGAATTGACATTGAAAAAAAACCACCAATGAAAAAGGAAGATCTCAAAAAAATCCTGATTCGATGAGACACTCCCGGGGAAATAAATATTAATTCTAACGTACGTGTTTTACAATTAAGAAGTAGTCCTATCATGTTAATATCCATGTCTTTCCTTTGACACTTGGTGCGCTGTACGTTGCGACGGCTCCGAAAGGAAATGCCCTCGTGTCGTGGCGTCACACCGATAGCGCAGCACAGTGGGAAGGAAACGAAATAGCAAAAGAGATCAAATAAGAGATTTGTTGATATTCTTTGTCAGGGGTGAGGAACCTTTTTTCTGCCAAGGGCCATTTGGATATTTATAACATCATTCGCGAACCATACAAAATTATCAACTTAAAAAATTGCCTGTTATATTTGGTCAAACATTTAATTAACTCACCCCTAATGTGATGGCTGGAACTGCTTCTCTTTGGCGAGGCGTGTGATGTTAGCTGGTATTGATGATGTTGCTACTCGCAACTGCTTTTCCAGGTTTGCTCCGAGATTTATTGAATTTCGAGTCCCGCCTGCGGTTGCCTTGGCAGGGCCAGACCAAATGATTTCGCGGGCCTCATACGGCCCGCGGCCCGGACGTTCCCCACCCCATCTGTAATTAACATCAAGTGCAAGTGATGAGCTGATTCGCATGAAACTCGCTCTTGAGCCGCATATATCGGTGCGGGTAGAAACACTCGGCCACAGCCCCTGTGGCGGTTTGTTGCTGACAGTGCCACGCAGTCGTGACTCATTTGCCAACCTGGCAGGTCTTTCCAGTCAAATACCTTTGGTCATTAAAAATAGCAAAGCAATAACAGAATAACTTTGCACGACGCGCACAAATCAACTGCCTGGCGTCGTAGCTTTATTAATTAATTTGTAATGCAGTTGGCATTATCGCTGGAGGCACATTCGCTCAGCACCTCCCGTGTTGATATGAGGCTCTGTCTCACGTGACCTGGCTAGTCTTCCCCTTTCACGTGGCAGGATGTAAAAGTCGCAGTGTTGAAATAACCAAGGAGACAACAGGAGACGCCATCCGGAGGCTGAAGCTGGACGCGGCTCTGTCAGGGTTTGTGACCTGCAACAAAAATGTCTGCACCCGTAACACAGCCAGTATGTCTCCCGCAATGGCCACAAGTCACATGCCTACTCAAGTACGTACTCCAGTCTACCAGCGACCTGAACACATGGCTTACAATCAACTGGGCCTGTCCAAGCAGGCAACCCGAAACAGATGTCCACTCCCGGCACACCACGTTCAGTATCCCCCCCCCCCCTCGCTTCTCGCTGTGCCGCCCACTGCGATCTCCTGGCGGACCGGCCAATATTGAGCGAGAAACCAAGCGTCGTTGGCTGGACGAGGACACGAGACTCGAGACGTGCAGAGACCGGGGTCCCGCGCGCCCATTTGTGGAGCCGACATCGCCGCGCTCGCGAGCGTTCGCTCGAGCTGCGGCGGGAGGACGGTGGTTTGCCAAAATAAACCTGTGTGTGCGTGTGTGGTAAGGTTGGGAGGGGGGGCGGTAGTGCAGCTGTTAACGCGCTTCGCGATGAACCCGGCGACCCGAGTTCGATTTCTGCTCATGGCCAACACCATTGACGATCTGAATCGGTTCCGGGCCTCCGGAACCGATTCGATTTAAAGCTTTCGTGACTGCAGGGATTCATCTTCTTGGTTCTTTCGGTAAAGTCACGTAGAAGGGAAATAAAAAAAAATTCTCACGACGTTTCGGCCAGACAGACGCTGTCTTTCCGACAGACCTGTTCTTCACCTGAGGACGGCTGCTTGCGTTGTGGCCGAAACGCCGTGAGAATTATTTTATTATGTTCTATTTGTATTATTTTATTATTTCCCTTCTACGTGACTTTACCGAAAGAACCACGAAGATTTGGTGTACTATCCACCAAATTAACCCAGATTGTGTTATCGGCGTTACGCCGTTGAGAGAACGGCCTACGGCAGTGGGTCCCTCTGAGACGCTTCGAGTGACTACTGCGCCGCCACGGTAGGGGGCAAAATTTCCGCATTCGCCATCGTCACCAAGAGTAATGTTTGTCGCGTGACGTGCATTCCAGAGCTGAAATTTGAGCCAAATTAAGTCCAGGGCCAAATTTATCGTGATGCTTATTTTTATTTATTTAACATATGACTATTGACGATCAGGAATAACTGATATCATTGGTGTGAGAACGAAAGGAATTGGGGGGAGCAACGGAGCAGTTGCAACCAAACGTTTGTGTGGGGCAGGGGAGGGGCAAGCCATTTACTTTGTGACCACAATCGCCTTCATTGCCCCCCCGCCCTCGCTTATTCAAAACTCTCTCCGCCAATGTTACACTTGTTCCGACACTCCTGCCCAATATCGTTCCACCCTACAGGTCTTCAGTGGCAATGACGCGTACTCAGTGACGCATCATTTCATAGTCTTGCGAAATTCAAATTTTACACCGCACACAAAAGGCATCTTAATGAGTAGAGTGCTGCGCTTATATCCCTTTGACAACCCGTTGTTGAATGAAGGCCTCTGCATTAAGGCTGGCAGCATCGGGTTTTTCATGGTTTTAATTAAAAAAAGATCATCTCAGATGGCGAAAAATCCGGTTTTAATCGGTTTCATTGCCTGTTAATCCCTATAATTATAGCCCCCACCAAAGAGAAAACAAACAACACGTTTCGCTACAAGATGATGGTCAAAGGTAGCAAGACGCCGATGGAGTATTGGCAGTCCCATGGCAGCCAGTGGCCCGAGCTGCAAAAGATCGGCGTCAAGCTGTTCAGCATCGCCACGTCCAGTGCCGCATCCGAGAGGAACTTCTCCACCGCGGCCTTCGTTCACTCCGAGCTGAGGAACAGCCCGACCGTGAAGTCGGTGGAGAAGCTCGTCTTCATCAAGAGCGGCGCGGTTGAGATGATCGAAGAGGAGAGCGAATCCGATGACTCTGGTGCCGATTGACGACAACTTGACTTGCCGGATTAAAGCCATGGGTTTTTTTCGACAAATTTTTTTTTTTATGAAACCAATAACCCGATCAAATTTGCAAAACATATCGTGTTTTTGCCCACCCTTGCTCCGCATTCCACGTTGGCCACGGGACTCTGTGACCACACTTTGCCACGCTGGTCAGCGCAGGGAGGGGGGTAGGTGTGGGGTGTGCGGGTGGTCAGTCATGGCCCAAGTCCGGTTCAGATATCACTCGTCACCTGATGTTAGCCGTGGCCAGAAATGGGTCTCATGCCGTTTATTTAACAAAAGGCTCCCAAGACATCACGAGAATCCAGACCCGTTGGCGCAGAGTGTCAGCAAGAGGCCCTGCATGGACGAATCACACTTTTTCACAGCCAGAAATCGCGACCATGTATTTCGTGACAATCAAAGTAACGCTCCAAACAGGTGTGCTGCTTTCACCCACGGTCGGGGCGTTCACCACAAGCAAAGTGTGACGATTGTGTGAGTTTTCCCGATGACTAAACCGAAATTGGAGAAAATCAAAACTGGACATCTGTGTGGGGGGGGGGGGGGGGGGGGGTGGGACGAGCATCGTAGCTCATCGGATTTCTCCAGGATAAATAAAAGATTCTGATTATTCCGGGCAAATTGAATCGGGTACACGTCGACAATCGGCGAACCGTGATTTGCATGATCCGCCTTCAGGCACGCGGCGTCATCAGGGCTCCCATGCAAAAGGGCAAAGGACGAAACCCGCAGGCCGCGATGTGGGTAAGTGAGTGTTGGTTTAGGATGTTGGTTTAGGGTGTTGGTTTAGGGTGTTGGTTTACACGCCTTGGCGTGTGCGCGTGTGAGTGCGTCATGGGCGTAAACATTGCGTTTCGGTGTTAAGAACAAGAATATTTAATACTCGGGATATTTTGACCAGCATTATCATTAATAATAATCGGGGTTT